TCCTCCAGTTTTTGGAATTATTACCCTTCAATATATATGGAGGAGCTTTACAAAATGGTTCTTCATCTTGGTGTCTTAGAGAAAAAAATTGCAAATGTGTGTGTGAATATATTATATATATATATAATAAATCTGGATATATTATATATATATATAATAGAATAAGCATTTTGATTTTCTAAGCATAACATTGATTTTATAGGAAGAGAAGGGATGGAAAAATAAAAGCAATGAGCAAAAGAAGACTGGTCCTTTCAGAATTACTTTATCCTTGTAAGGTATGGGCAGTAATATGGATGAATAGGTAAATAACTGATTAGTTAGCACCAGAGATTAAGACAGGGGAACTTTCTTATTCTGGGAAATTTGTTATCTCTGCAATCCTTTAGTTCTCTGAAAGGTCAGATAAACAGCTTAGTTTCTGCTTGGTGACAAGTGACTCTATCTTATTTTTAGTCTGCTTTGTTGTGGTCTAGTGTAAAACTTAATACAAAGCAGCATTACATATACACATGTGTACATGTACATGTATACACACATGTATATGTATGTGTATGTGTGCATGTTTGTGGTCATACATGTATGTATAAATGCTTGCATGTTTGTGACCATACGTGTGTGTGTGTGTGTGTGTGTGTGTGTGTGCATATACAGTGTGTGAGGGCTGTATATGGAAAAATCAAAGTTGACAATGGCTTTTTCCTTGATCACTTTATTTGTTGAGTCAGGGTTCTTTGCTGAACCTAGAGCTCCTGGATTCTAGGCTAATATAGCTAGCCAGTTTGTGTGGTGGAGGTGGGGGAGTACCCTTTTGTAGTGAGAGTTCCAACCAGCGGCATCCGTGGTGCTGACCACGCCTGTTCTGGCGAGTCACAGGTGCATACATGAGCATGTGGTATTTGGTCTGGGGTCCGGGACAGGCTTGCTCTCTCTTGGTTCTAGTCGGGTCACAGAGAGCAGCTGGGTGTGGATCCTTGGAGCTGGATCTTGTGGGTCATCAGTTTCTTATGTGACTTCTCTCTGAATAAAATTAACCTATATTTATTCTAATCCCATGTACCTTAATTTGTACATCCACCCTTTCTCTGCCTAGGGGGAGTTGGGATTGCAGGCAGCCGCCACACCTGCTGGGCTTTTACTTTGGTTTGGGGGCTTTGAACACTTGTCCTCACTCTTGTGTAGCAAGTGCTTTATCCACTAACTGATCTCCCCAGCCTCTTACCTCCTGTAGTTTGCATTTAAAGTGTTCTTTTATCAGGCTCCTAGCCCTACTCTCTAAAACATGGGAATCATGCAGGATTCTTTGGGTTTTGTCTCCTTTTTCAACTTCCCTGGACTCATAAGTTATCCTTATTTTGAGACAGGATCTCGATTTGTTGCCCAGGTTAGTCTTCAATATGTAGCCAGGACAAGTTAATGACCCTCCTCCACAAACATGGTTCAGATACAAAGGCTTAGAATGACATCTCCAGCCCTGATGTTATGAATGTTGGATGCTTCTACTTTCTGTCTTTCTTACAGGTTCCGTCAGCCGCCTGAGTTCTGCCCAAGTTCCACCCACTGTTTTAGGGCCCCAAATAACACACAGAGACTTATATTAGTTTACAATGCTGCTGGCCAATTGACTAGGGTTTCTTATCTGCTTGCTCAGTTAATTATCATAAATTTATATATTTTATAAGACTTATTGAGGATGCCTTCTGCTGGCGTCCTCCTCCCAGGACCACATGACGGCTCCGTAGAGAAGAGAGCAGGAGGAAGAGCAAGAGAAAGAGAATGACTTCCTGTTTGTCCCTGCTTATATATGAGTCTGCCTGCTATGTCACTTCCTGCCTGTATCACAAGACTTCTTTTTACTACATTTCCCAGAATCCTCTTTGACTCCTCGTCCTGCCTAACTTGCTGCCTCATTGGCCAAACAGTGCTTTATTCAACAATCAATAAGATAAACATACACAGAAGGACATTCCCCATGGACATTCCCTATCACCTAGGCCTGCATAATAAGGAGTTAATTGTGACCAATTCTTGGTTCTATCTTGAGTATTTTTCATTTTCATTACTTCTTACCTAGTTCTAATTTTAATTTTAAAATTAAGTTTTAATTTTAAGTATCTAATTAGATTCCTGTCTTCAAAATATATCAATGTTAGTAAGAACTGGGGGTATAAAGAGCAGTATAGTTTTTTTTTTTTTTTTTTTTTTTTTTTTTTTTTTTTTTGATAGAAAAGACTAGCGTTTAGTGTTCCTACAGTCCCCCAAACAAAAAAAATCCTGAATGCCATTCAGGTCAGCTGTATTTTACCGTAAGAAAAAAAGGCACATATAGAGGTATTAAAATGCAAAAGGGCATTTAAAAATAATACTGTGTATAAAACATAATTAGATAGCAACAATATCCATCAAACAAGTTTGAAAATAAGAAAATAAGTTTGTTCATAATTTTATATTAAATAATAAATTGCAAGTTTATAAATGCTATATCTTGATTGTTAGTATATTTTTATGACTCATTTTTTTCTGCAAATTGATTTTTTAAGCAGCCATATTTTTTTTAACACTTTCTGTTTCACTTGGCCTAACTGGAAATGATGTCTGTCATGTAGCAAATGTGAGGTGATAAATTTTTGATAACTTTACTTTTGTGCTAGTTAAAGACTTGCAGTATAATTTTTTTAAATGACTTTAATTGTTTAAGGTGGAAATGAGAACCTAGGATTTTATAATTGGGTTTTATACTATAGCCATAGCACAGTCATTGGAATAGCCATCATGGGTTTTATCTGTCTATCTATCTATCTATCTATCTTCTATCTATCATCTAATAAGCTAAGTATTCAGGCTCACAGCACAATCACTGGCCATATTTGGTACTGGGCTCAGAAGTAATTTATAGGAGAGCAACTGTAGCCACTAAGAGAAATGCTGCATATGCCTTTTCCTATGGAAACAGGGCTTGTAGCTAGCTGTCCTCTCAGCAGGTCACAGATTTGTCTCTGAGTTTTTTTTTTGTGAATGGTTGTAGGAAGCATCCTACACCATGAACACTTTATTAAGACCTTATTGCTTAAGTAGTTAGACACTGATTAGCTATAAATGTTTTCTGTATCTGGTCCCTGGTTACTCTGCAGAGCCTTCCCTGGCTGCTGGGAGCTGGGACACCACTGGGAGGGGGCAAGAGTGGGAAAAACAGTACTTCCTAAGTGCCTTAGAGGTGAAGTGGGCTACAACAGGGCCCCTGAGTTAGCACAGGGGTCAGGAGTGTAGGCTTAAGCCAGGGTCCAGGGGCAGTGTTCCCTGAGATGAGTCAAACTCCAGCCCCCTCTGACCTTTCTAGAATGGCTGGGTAAGAGAAACAGCACCATGGAGTGGGCAAACTAATTATCCCTTCTGTGGAAGTCATGCTGTGCGGGGCAGACAACATGAAGCTTCAGGGCAAGGGGTCTTCAGGAGTGATCACTGCAGGCAGGAACAAAACTTCACATGAAGTAGCCATGTTCATGCAGGACAAGGCAGGGTTCCTCAAGGACAAGCTGCCTAAGCCTGGGTTTGGGGTTCCCAGTTCTTTAGTATAAAGGAATATAGGGATGCAGTTAGGTGTTTCCTTAACCAAGCCCACTCTTTATGCCTCCTAGCGGTAACGCTCACCCACCTGAACATCCAAAGGCTAACATGACCACCTTAGCTTTTCTTACAAGGCACTTGTTACAGGGCTGCTGGGGTGGGGTGTGGTGGTGAGATGGGAGGTGGCTCTGGTGGTTGCATCTAATCTACACAGCCACAAGTGAGAGTGGGTGTGGCCAAGGCCTTAGGGACTTCCATAATACAAGCACACAGCCAGGCCAATGAGCAGTGTGGCCAGGAAGAAGACGGCTGTAAGCTGTAGCTGTAGCAGCAATGCTGAAAGCACAGCATTGACCACCAAGGAGCAGGACACGATGAAGAGGCGTGTAATGCTGCTGCCATGCTTCATGACAGCTGACATGAGCAGTCCATTTACTGTCTGGTTCAGCACCACAAGCACTGCCCATCCAGAGAAACCCTCTGGCTTATCTCTGAGTTTTTTTTTTCTTTTTTTTTTTTTTTATCTTCTTAGAAGATGGCTCAAATGTAATGATAAGGATTCTTGTTAATAGGACCCAGATGTTTTTTTAAACAGAGGGATTGGCACAAGTTTGAGGCTAACCTGGGCTACAATGTAAAAACACAATTATAGGCAATTATAGGTCTGGAGAGATGGCTCAGAGGTTAAG